TTCATTTTTGTTAGTGAAGCAAAGCCGTGGCCCCTTAGACTTGCCCTGAGTGGCTGCATGTCAGTGTTCAGATGGGTGGTCGGGAGCAATAAAACCACCTGGTGTTTTTACCCCCCCGGCAACACATGTGAGCGAATCCTTCACGGCCGTTCTCTGAAACTACAAATCCCATCATGCCCTGGGAATTAGTGTAGAACCGTAAGTATAGCAAACTACGTAGTTGTAGTGGTCACTTGAGACCCTTGGTTGGAGGATCCCAGGTCTGCCCACTACACAGAGCGGCGATGTAATTACATCATGATTCGCTGTAAGAAAAAAAAGTACTGAGGGAATGTACAAAGCCCGTCGCTGGGGATACTGGGATTGATTTACTAAAGGCTATTAGACTGGGCACTTTGCAAGTGCAGTTGCTGCAGAGCTTAGTAAATGAGCAGAAGGTCTGCTGACTTCCATCATCCAATCCTGTGCAAGCAAAAATGCTGTTTTTTTTATTTTCTTTGCATGTGATTGGGTATTCTTTGCAAAGTGAAAATGACCCCATTTACTAAGCTCTGGAGAAACTGCACTTGCAGAGTGCATAGTCTATTTGCCTTTAGTAAATCAATCCCATAGGGCTCATATCAGCCACCTTTCTTGTGACCCAGACTTTAAAGTATTTGCGATCCTTATCTTGTAAAACAGGGGTGTCAAACTGGCGGCCCTCCAGCTGTCGTGAAACTACAAGTCCCATCATCCCTCTGCCTTTGGGAGTCATGCTTGTAACTGTCAATCTTGCAATGCCTCATGGGACTTGTAGTTTGGCAACAGCTGGAGGGCTGCCAGGTTCATGCCCGTGTTGTAAAACAACTCATTCTGTTTAAAACAAATGACAGACAAAACATGTGTGTATATAATATACTGTATATATATATATAACTTTTTTTTTATTAACCTCTTCACGCCGGCCAAACGCAAATGTGCGGCCTCCCGGCATCTGGGCCTAGACGCCGAGCGGCCGCACATTTGCGTTCTATTAAAAAAAGACATGTGCTGAGAGCGTGCGCCCTGCGCGCTCCCAACACACATGTCTGGTACTCACGGAAAGGTCCTGATCTCCTCTTTCGATCGGGACCTTTCCTGATCATGTGACTGCCATGAAGGCGTGTCACAGCGGTCACATGACCCTAAACCTCGCCCCGCCTCCCGGCTTCTGAAACCCTTAAAGGGCCGGGAGGTGCCGGCGCGAAGGAGTTAACTTACGCAGGTTGTTCAAATTTCACATGTTGGTAGAGTAACTCTTCTCTTTTTTGCAGGTAAATAATGGATTCCAGGCAGAAGCAGTGTGGTGTCATTGAGTTATTGATGAAGGAGGGGTGCAGGCTGTCCAACATCCAGAGAAAGCTGAAGAATGTTTATGGAGATGACACCATTGACAAGAGTCACCAAGGACAAGACATTGCTTGTGTCATCTCCATAAACATTTCTGTAGCCTTCTCTGGATGTTGGACAGCCTGCACCCCTTCTTCATCAATAACTCAATGACAGCACATTGCTTCTGCTTGGTATTCATTATTTAACTGCAAAGAAAAAAAAGATGATTTACTATAGATTGGTTGGTTACTTTGTTAAAATTTCACCTGTTGGTAATATATGTAAGTTAATGAAAACAGGTTATGTCCTCTTTCCCATAATTTTTGGTACAGCTCTCATATTCTTTATAGGTGAACTGGCCAGGGGCAGACTGAGCATTTGGAAACTCAGGCACTTGCCCGAAGGCCGGGGTCAGTAGTGGGCCCCTTGAGATGCCCCTGGTACCTTTTTCATAGGCTTTTTTGAGTTTGGGCAAGGACACAGGGGCCCCATGATCCCCTATTGCCCGGGGACCCCATGAGTTGTCAGTCCACCCCTGGAACTGGCCCATTAACCTCCCTATCGGTCTGATTATGTCAGTATTTCTGTGCTCAAAGCGGTACATTTTTTTGCATGGAAATATGTATTTTTTTTATTGTAGGTCTGTAATTCTTAGGAATAACTCACTGAAATCTGTCCGAACAAGAGTCTAGTAAAACATCCCGGGTATGATAAAATTTGAAACACAAAATCATAAATTATAATATAATAAATAATCATAAAAAATAATAATATAATAATAATAAATTTAACTCAATAATATAATCAAACCAAAAACACTGAAATCTTAAATAGAGCGCCAAGTTCGCACATCACTGAGCAAAGTCGCAGAATCGTTTTCAGTGTCTGATGAGGAATTTCCCCCACAAATCATTATCACTCAATTCTGCAAGTGGTTCTGATTTACTATCGCTGTTCTCTAGCCGGTCTATAACCGCTTTTGACGTAAAGGGACCAGGGGCAGACTGACCATTTGGAAACTTGGGCACTGCCTGAGGGCCTGGGGTCAGTAGGGGGCCCCATGAGATGCCCCTGGTACCTTTTTACATAGGCTTTTTTGAGTTTGGGCAAGGACACAGGGGCCCCATGATCCCCTATTGCCCGGGGGCCCCATGAGTTGTCAGTCCGCCCCTGAAAGGGACGCTTTTTGGACGCCATGGACTTTTCTCAGTTTCCAGGCAGAAAGAACATTCAAAATGCAGGCAGGGCGCCGGACAAAGCACTCGGGACAAAATGTATGTGAAATGGTTTGATACAGTAATGGAATACCATCAGATTTTAGTGGATTGAGTGAATGTCACATTTTTACATTTTTTAAATTTCCGCCGGTTCCATCCCTCGTGCATCCCATATGTCCCGAATGGAACCCGGAAGACGGATGCCGGCATCGGCCAGAGGAGATGGCCGGGGACGCTGCAGGGGGGACATCGCGGGAGCGCAGGACAAGGTAAGTGCAGGAGGGATCTCGGAACAACGCTGCAGGGTATTCCCGAGTGTAGCTCGGGGCTACTGCTTGTGGTACTGAAACTTAACCCCGAGCTACACTCGGGAATACCGCCAGGGGGGTTAAGTGGTTTGGTTCTGTCTGCGGGAGCGCAGGACAAGGTAAGTGCAGGAGGGATCCCGGAACAATGCTGCAGGGTATTCCCGAGTGTAGCTCGGGGTTACCACTTCTGGTACTGAAACTTTACCCCGAGCTACACTCGCGAATACCGCCAGGGGGGTTAAATGGTTTTGGTTCTGAGCAAGACACTTTATTCACTTTCAATGATGTTTTATTTATTCAGCTACCTGAAACCTCTTTCCTAGAACTACGTTTGTTTTTCTGTTGGAAGCCCCCTTTGCCGTCTACACCCTACGAGGTTCCTCTCTTGCCTTTACAAGCGTTCATTTTAACCGACAATGGGAAAGCGAAGGCGCGGGTGGCAACAAATGACTCAACAATGATGCCAGCTGCTCTTGCTCACACCTTAAGTGTACCAGAGACAATGAAAACTCCTGTCATCGCGTTGCCAAACACCGGAGGCAACAAGCGTGCCCCACTTAACTCAATAACTCGACTTTTTGTTATCTTTTCATAGGCTGGAGATGAAAAGCGAAATCTTCGATAATCCTTTTTCTCCTTTTGTTAGATTGTGCCAGGCAGCTGCAAGCTCTGTACCAGCCGCCAAAGACAAGCACTTCATAGCGTGATAACGTGGCTGCCTGAAGGATACCGCCCATTGGGTAATCTTTTCGTAAAGTGTTTCGACACTCTGGTCTCTTACCAGTCTAGACAGATTGATGGCAGTGAATTGATGTGGCTTTTGAGGACACCAAGCCCAAACATCACTTAACGCCTCGGATATTACACGGTACTTGACAAATAATAGTGAAACTCCAGCCAAAACAGGCTTTAGTTTGGATAGTATTTGGAAGGGTTAGAATCCTATTTTTAGGGCTGAAACACACTTTTGTGGTTAGGTCACAAATAAATTATGTGCGTGAGCAAGTTTCAGTGCCATCCAATGCAGGTAGAGGCTTTCTCAACTTTTTCAACACAGAGGAACCCTTGAAATAACTTTCCACTCTCAGGGAACCCTGCTAAAAATGACTATGTCTACAACTCAGGATACCTTGGTGTGATGGTCAATGGGAAAAAACTCTTTACATTTGTGGACGATGGAATGAATTACTCCATTACAGATAGCTAAAAAGACCAATGGTGTCAGTGGGAATGTACTGTATCTGGCAAGAAGAAACTGCTCATTGCTTAACCTCCTTGGAGGTAATCCCGAGTGTAGCTCGGGGTAGAATTTCTATACCAAGAACGGTAACCCCGAGCTACACTCGGGCTTACCATGCAGCGTTCTCTGGGGGTCCCTGCAGCACTTACCTTGTCCTTCGCTCCCACGATGGGTCCCCTGCAGCGTCCCCGTCCATCTCCTCCTGGCCGTTGCCGGCATCTGGCTTCCGTGTTCCGGTCCCTGTGACGTCGGAACGTTCGGGCGGCGGAACCAGCGGGAAATTTGAAATTTTTTAAAAATGACATTTTTGCTGTCATTGCTTTTTCACTGCATTTCACATACATTTTGTCCCCACTGCTTTGTCCTGCGCCCTGCCTGCATTTTGACTGTTCTTTCTGCCTGGAAACTTAGAAAAGTCCATGGCGGCCAAAAAGCGCCCCTTTACGTCAAAAGCGGTTTTAGAACAGCGATAGTAAATCAGAACCACTTGCAGAATTGAGTGATAATGATTCGTGGGCGAAATTCCTCATCAGACACCGAAAACGATTTTGCGACTTTGCTCAGCGATGTGCGAATTTGCCTCTGTATTTCAAATTTCAGTGTTTTTGGTTTGATTATATTATTGAATTAAATTTATTATTATTATATTATTTTTTTTATGATTATTTATTAAATTATAATTTATGATTTCGTGTTTCAAGTTTTATCATACCCGGAATGTTTAATAGACTCTTTTTCGGATAGATTTCAGTGAGTTATTCCTAAAAATTACAGCCTACAATAAAAAAAACTACATATTTCCATGCAAAAAAATGGTACCGCTTTCAGCACCAAAAATCGGAAAGAATCATACCGCCAAGGAGGTTAAGGAACCAGGGCTGGATCTAGGGGGGTGCTAGGGTGGGCTGTGCCCCACAAGATTTTACTTGTGTACCCCCAGAACTCTACTGATCCATGAGCCAGTCTGATGCGGACAGTTGATGTAAGGGGGCACTCTGATTGGGATAACCTATCATATGTAAAGGGACACTCTGATGAGGACAATTGATGTAAGGTGCAGCTACATTAGGGACACTGATGTAAGGGGCACTCTGATGGGGACGCCTGATGTAAGGGGCAACTCTGATGGGGACACCTGATGTGAAAAGGAACTCTGATGGGGACACCTGCTCCACCAGATTTTACATTAGGGACACTGATGTAAGGGGCGCTCTGATGGGGACACCTGATGTAAGAGGGAACTCTGATGGGGACACCTGATGTAAGGGGCAACTCTGATGGGGACACCTGATGTGAAAAGGAACTCTGATGGGAACACCTGATGTAAGGGGGAACTCTGATGGGGACACCTGATATAAGGGGGAACTCTGATGGGGACACCTGATGTGAAAAGGAACTCTGATGGGGACACCTGATGTAAGGGGGGAGCTCTGAAGGGGACACTCTGATGTAAGGGGGAACTTTGATGGGGACACCTGATGTGAGGGGTCACTCTGATGGGGAAATCTGATGTAAGGGGTCACCCTGAAGGGACATTTGATGTAAGGGGGAACTCTGATTGGGATAACCTATCACATGTAAAGGGACACTCTGATGAGGACAATTGATGTAAGGTGCGGCTCTATTAGGGACACTGATGTAAGGGGCGCTCTGATGGGGACACCTGATGTAAGGGGGAACTCTGATGGGGACACCTGATGTGAAAAGGAACTCTGATGGGGACACCTGATGTAAGGGGGGAACTCTGATGGGGACACCTGATGTGAAAAGGAACTCTGAAGGGGACACCTGATGTGAAAAGGAACTCTGATGGGGACACCTGATGTAAGGGGGGAGCTCTGAAGGGGGACACTCTGATGTAAGGGGGAACTTTGATGGGGACAACTGATGTGAGGGGTCACTCTGATGGGGAAATCTGATGTAAGGGGTCACTCTGATGGGACATTTGATGTAAGGGGTCACTCTGATGGGGACATCTGATGTAAGGGGTCACTCTGATAGGACATTTGATGTAAGGGGGCACTCTCACGAGTAGTCTTGATGTACAGAAGGATTCTGATGGAGACTCCTGATTTAAAGGGGGATGCTGATAGGACATCTGATATTGGGGGCACAGGTTTTGTTTAATCACCCTAATTTAATGACAATCTAATACATGATAGCGTTTCCCAGGTAATGACACTGTGTCATACACACAGTGTTGATATTTTGCCCCATGACTTTTTTTTACTGCGCCCTCAGATCAAGCTAGATCCGGCTCTGTAAGGAACCCCTAGCAACCTCTGGAGGAACCCTGGTTGGGAAACCCTGCACTAAGACTACCATGGTTTGCAGTGTGTTGTGTCAAAGAACAAAGCTGCACATCCATTTTTTTAATCTGTTCTTGGATATCAGCAGCCATTCAGGGCCAAATTATACATTTTCTGATGCGTTAACATGCGCATTAGTGCATGCATTACTGCAATCCATGTCAACACATTACTTGTGTTAGTACATTGCAGCATCATTTTGAATGGTATCCCAATGCACTAAGGCAGTGGTCTCTAAACTGCAATCCGAGGGCCAAATGAGGCACCTCTGCTTGCGCCCCCTGGGCACTATTCCTCCCAGCTATATATGCCACTATTCTTCCCACTGACAGCAACAATGGGGCATAATTGCTGTTACTGATACCAATGACAGAGCACTATTCCTTTGACTAATACTAATGATGGGGCACTATTCCTCCCACTAATACAAATGATGAGGAACTATTCCTCCCACTGATACCAATGATGGGGCACTATTCCTCCCACTAATACAAATGATGAGGAACTATTCCTCCCACTGATACAATGATGAGGAACTATTCCTCCCACTGATATCAATGATGGGGCACTATTCCTCCCACTGACACCAATGATGGGACACTATTCCTCCCACTAATACCAATGATGAGGAACTATTCCTCCCACTAATACCAATGATGAGGAACTATTCCTCCCACTGATACCAATGATGGGGCACTATTCCCCCCACTGATACCAATGATGGGGCACTATTCCTCCCACTGATATAAATGATGCGGCACTATTCCTCCCACTGATACCAATGATGGGGCACTATTCCTCCCACTGATACCAATGATGGAGCACTATTCCTCCCACTGATATCAATGATGGGGCACTATTCCTCCCATTGATACCAATGATGGGACACTATTCCTCCCACTGATACCAATGATGGGACACTATTCCTCCCACTAATACCAATGATGATGAACTATTCCTCCCACTAATACCAATGATGAGGAACTATTCCTCCCACTGATACCAATGATGGGGCACTATTCCCCCCACTGATACCAATGATGGGGCACTATTCCTCCCACTGATACCAATGATGGGGCACTATTCCTCCCACTAATACCAATGATGAGGAACTATTCCTCCCACTAATACCAATGATGGGGAACTATTCCTCCCACTAATACCAATGATGGGGCACTATTCCTCCCACTAATACCAATGATGAGGAACTATTCCTCCCACTAATACCAATGATGGGAACTATTCCTCCCACTAATACCAATGATGGGGCACTATTCCTCCCACTAATACCAATGATGGGGAACTATTCCTCCCACTGATACCAATGATGGGGCACTATTCCTCCCACTGATACCAATGATGGGGCACTATTCCTCCCACTAATACCAATGATGAGGAACTATTCCTCCCACTAATACCAATGATGGGGCACTATTCCTCCCACTAATACCAATGATGAGGAACTATTCCTCCCACTGATACCAATGATGGGGCACTATTCCTCCCACTGATACCAATGATGAGGAACTATTCCTCCCACTAATACCAATGATGAGGAACTATTCCTCCCACTGATACCAATGATGGGACACTATTCCTCCCACTGATACCAATGATGGGGCACTATTCCTCCCACTGATACCAATGATGGGACACTATTCCTCCCACTAATACCAATGATGAGGAACTATTCCTCCCACTAATACCAATGATGGGGAACTATTCCTCCCACTAATACCAATGATGAGGAACTATTCCTCCCACTGATACCAATGATGAGGAACTATTCCTCCCACTGACACCAATGATGAGGAACTATTCCTCCCACTGACACTAATGATGGGGCACTATTCCTCCCACTAATACCAATGATGAGGCATTATTCCTCCCACTAATACCAATGATAAGAACCTATTCCTCCTACCAATACCAATGATGAGGAACTATTCCTCCCACTAATACCAATGCTGGGACACTATTCCTTCTCCTATTGAACACAGGGCTACGTCAATTTTTCACTCCTTCTGACCACCAAGCCTGAGACATTGTTTCCTCCCAAAGATTCTGGGACATTTTCTTCCCCCGCTGGCTACAGTCCGGCTCCATTAAAGTCTGAAGGACAGTAAAGTGGCATTTTGTTTAGAAAGTTTGGAGACCCCCTGCACTAAAACAAAGCAACTGCAATGCACATTTGTTGCAGTGCATCAAACACATGGTAGTGCATTGTGATGCACTGTGTTGTCAAAAATGGTGCTTGTCCTTTTTTTTTTTTTTTTAAAACAAAATATCTACACTAACACAACATGCCAACATGCCAAGGTTTGTATGGGCCTTCAAAATGGATGAGGAGCCTTAACAAAGCAGACGTTAGTTATTGAATGACACAACACTTGTTAATTTGCATCCGTTAATGCAACGCACAGGATCAAAGAAGTGTGAAGGGGCTCTCTAATCTTTCTATATCTCAGTTAGGCTATTTCCCTTACTTCCTACGTGGTCCCTGGAATAGGAGGTAAGGGGAAACATTCCCCAGTGTGAACAGCAAAAAAAAAACTGAACACTATCACACTCCACTCAAAACTAAAAAAAAATACGGATTTTAGCTAGAGTTTCACTTTTCAATTATTACAAACATTTCTCTTACATTTTCCCACTTTTCATAATAACTTTCGGTTGAGATAGAGTTGGAGTTTAGATTCCATCAGACATGAGATAAAGGTTGTGATGGGAGTCACTTTGGGTGGGGGGCCCATGGAACACAGCTCACTTTGGAGAGGTGGGGAGACCCCGGTCTCAGCTCCCCATATCCCTCTTATGTGTAAGTCACCCTGTGCCTGTTAGGGGTACCGGGTGATAGGTCCTGGTATTGTGTAGACATGTATAGGTGGGGTGGGGGTTGTGGATTGTTTGGTGTTATGTGGTTGCATCCCATTGTTCTATTGTGTGTCTTGCTTGGGAGCAAACTATTATGGGATATATGTGTTTATGTGTATTGGCTTGGTGGGGGGTGTCTCCAGCAGCCCTCCCTCCTGATGGGACTGTCTGTTGGTGTGTCTCTTGTTACTAAATGTAGATTGCCCCGCCCTGTGTCATTATGCAGGGAGGGGGGTTGTTTTCTTGAATGTATATATCTTGTATTTGTGTTAAAATAAACTAGTCTACTTCCTGGTTTACTTCAAGACTGATGTCGTCTAGTCTTGTATGGTCTGCTGTGGTGTCTGTTGTCGGTGTTCGGACGGGGAAGCGGGAGTCTAACGGAAGTCTAACGGAAGTACCCAAGTGCAGTCTGGGAGGCTTTTGTAGATGACCACAGAAATGTTCCAAGAACATGCTTTGTCTTCATCTCGTACTGTTCTAGCTTTTTATTATTATTTTTTAGGACTGGTTAATATACTGCTGCTTTTATATTATGGAGTTTGTCTATTCTTGTTTCTGACTGTGAGAGTGCCCGCAAGAAAGTGTTTTATTGTACTTGGTACTTGTACTTTATGCTTGACGATAAACATTTGAACTTGTTGGTAGACTCTTTTGAGCCAGTCCATTGGCCCAGTTTCACTCTAGACATCTACCACAAAACATTCTGTCATCATGAGACAAGTTGATCTTGATTGACCAATTCGTCTATGACCGTGTTCTGGGTTGTCTCTGGCCTGGTGGCTGAGGAATCTTGTTCTAGAGTCCAGGAAGTCTTTGCTACCCATGTGTTGAAGAATTCTCAAGATTGACACCAGCCTGTCTGGCTCAGAAAAAGTTCTGAGTGCCCTGTCAGTGTCTAGGACTTGGTCATCATTTGATTCTCATCTTCTGATTAACATCCTAGAACTTTGGGAGATTTGACTGCCTCCACAGCATTGGACCATCCTACTGGAGGGTCATCCGATTTGGATTCAGTCAGACAATGCCAAGGAAGAGGCATACAACAATCTTCAGTGAGGAACCAGACCACTCGCAGTGGCAAGAAAGCTAGATTGTATCCCGTCAATTACCAATGGCTGTACCGGACTTCTGTGTGGGGTCCCGATCATGTGGTCACTGATTGGCCAATCAGTGATCACATGAATAGTAGTAAGCAAGATGTCACGTCCTGACATCATTGCTTACTACGTGTGAAATCTGTGAATGATAACAGAGATCACATGGTACAAGGCTACTCACAACAGCCTTGTACCATGTGACAAGCTGTAACCAATCACAGCTCACACAGTATTTCTCAATGGCTGCAAGAATGCAGCCAGAGAGAAGGAGAAATGATTGCTTTTACAGCCTTCATTGGTGTAAAAGCAATCGGTGTAAAAAAAAAAAAATCTTCATCACCCCCCACAAGTAGTACAGTGTCACTATGGTGATACTGTACTCCTAGGGTGACGGTATGTTAAAAAGAAAAAAATACATAAATAATAATATAAAAAATAAAATAAAAATGTAAAAAAATTTTTAAAAATCATAGTTTTTGGTGATAAACAAATTTGGGTTATTTTTTTTACTAAAAATATAACTTAATAAATTTTGGCCAAGATTTATGAAGAAAGTTTATTTATTTGCAAAATTTTATAAGAAACATTTTTGAACTTTTTAATTTATATAGCAAAAAAAATAAAAATCCCAGCA